ATTAGAAAAATCAATATAAGACTCTTATGGTACAACTGTTTATCAGGACCTTGAGGTTGCTATGCCAAAGGTCTCTGATTATATTGGTGGTGTTCATCAGTCTTGGGTTTTACCATTGCCTACATCATGATATTTGATTCTGATATGGCTGGAGGTTGAGAGCTTTACCCTCCCATTATACCCACATAGGGATTTTCTGGTATGGATATATTTTGCGAGTGAATTATTTTCGACTTAGGAGGCTTGGGAGTTCATTCGTGACAAGGATACTTCTCAACTGACTTTTAAAACATTATGGTCATTCAAATGTCAATCATAGAGCGAAATGGTTCTCTTGGTTGGCTCTTCATTATCGTTACCAACTATTTCTCTCCTGCAGTAGTGTGGGATAACTATGGCTCCTCCTGTTTGTTCCTTTTGTAAAATTAGTGATGATAGTCCATGTCATTTATTGTTTCTCTGTGATTTCTCACAGGCTATATAGAAATCTTTTGCTTAGCGGTGTGACAAGCATTTTATTTTTGGCTCTTCTATTCAAATTATGTTGAGAAGTTGGTTATCTTTCATATTCAAATCCAACGGATTCTTTAATATTTGGACTTCTTTATTCTTCACTACTATTTGGTTTTTATGGGCGGAGTGCAATCGGAGAGTTATCCAATCAAGATTAATCAGGAGAAAACAATTGCTTCGACAAATCATTTATCATATTCGGAAGCTAGCTGATGCTAAATCCTAGTGTGTCAGAAAAAACAATCATTGATAATCTACAATTCACTTGGCAGCACCAGAGGGACCAGTTTGCCATTCCGGTGACGTGGTCATTTCCTAATCCTATTCACTTCAAGCTAAACATTGATGAGGCTTCTTTGAATAACTCAGGTCAAGCAGGTGGGGTGGTGTTATTAGAAACTGTGATGGTGCTTTTATTGTAGCATTTTCAAAACCTTTTGGAATCGCTTTCAATAATTATATGGAATTCTCTACTCTTGAAGACGGTTTGATCTTAGCAGTTCAGTTAAAGTGTTTTCCTCTTCAGATTGAAAGTGATTCAGCCTTACTCGATAATATTATTCATGAACGCTGTCAATCTCCTTGGAAGTTGTATTCAATTGCAACAAATTGTAGACAATGTCTTTCTAATCGTGGATGGTCTATCGCTCACATTTTTCGTAAGGCCAACATGGTACCTGATATTCTTGCAAAGAGGACTACATCTCTACAAGCCATTGTTTGGCGTTCTCTTCTACCAAACTTCATTTATCTTGCTTTACTCCATGATTCATCACAAGTGCCCTGTTCCAGGGTTGTTAAGACATGAGTTGTAACCTTGTTTTTTTAATTATCAATGAAAAATGGGTAGAGGGACCTTCTCCCCCATTGGCTTACCTAAAAAACAAAAAACATGGGATAGTTTTGGGTAATTTTGTGACAATATTATATTAGGTCTAGGTTGCCGATGGTCCACTAGGGTTTTTGTAGTCTTTCGGGCTCAGAATCGAGGTTTTTAAGTGTTCCCTTAGCCAGAATTTCGAGGGGGTGTCTACAATTTCAAATCTTAAATTTTACAAAGAGAAAGTATATTAAAATTTTAGAGATAGAAACAATATCAAATTTTAGAGAGAGAAACTATCTAAAAAATTTTAGAGAGATAAATATCTCAAAGTTTTAATAAATTTTAGAGAGAGAAACTACCTAAAAATTTTTAGAGAGATAAATATCTCAAAATTTTCAGAGAAAAAGTATATCAAATTTTAAGTTTCAAAGAGAGAAAGTATATTTAAATTTTAGGGATAGAAACTATATCAAGATTTAGAAATAGAAACTACCTAATAACTTTATCTAGAACAACTGTCTCAAAATTTTTAGAGAGAGAAACTATCTCAAATTTTTTAAAGAGAAACTATCTTAATTTTTAAGTATTAGAGATAGAGTATCTTAAAATTTTAGAGAGAGAAACTATGTCAAATTTAGAGAAAGTACTTGAAATTTTTAGATAGTTAAACCATATCAAGATTTAGAGAAAGTACTTGAAAATTTTTAGAGAAGAAATTATCTCAAAAATTTTAGAGAGATAAATTATTTGAAATATTAATTTTTAGAGAGAGATTATTCTTAAACTTTTATAGAGAGAGAGTATGATAAATTTTAAAAAGAGAAACTATAAGAAAATTTTTAGAAAGAGAAATTTCTCAATTCTTTAAAGAAAATCTATCTCAAATTCAAGTTTTAGAGAGAAAATATATTAAAAGTTTTGAGATAGAAATTATCTGAAATTTTAGAGATAGAAACTACCTAAAAATACCTAACTTTTTTAAAGAGAGAAACTATCTCAAAATTTTTAGAGATAAAAACTATATCAAATTTTTAAGTTTTGGAGAGAATGTATATTAAAGTTTTAGAAAGACAAATCATATCAAATTTTAGAGAGAAACTATCTCAAAATTTTAAAAGAGAGACTATCCCAAATTTTGAGTTTAGAGTTTATAGAGAGATTGTATCTAATTTTATTACCAAACATTGGACATGGAAATGATTGTGTGGAATCCATGAATTTTATATGATATCCATAAACATGAGATTTGAGGAATCCTAGACCACAATCCTTGATGCGAAAAACTATAGATTTTCTTGGATTTCAAATCTCTAAGATTCTTAATTTCTTCCTATTCAAACGGGCTCTAAACAAAACAAAGTTAGTACACGACCTTTGTTGATAAAGCAAGAAATTTTGTTAAAAAGTTAGCTGTAATTAGTTTATGAAGTGTAAAGTTATTAATTAAAATTACAAAGAGTATTAAAATCAACATCCTATCTATATAGAAATTAAGTGTAACCTTTAATATATATTCAAATATCATAATTTTTAAACTAAAATCTGGTCATAAACATTTTCTAATCGCACAAAAAGAAAAAAAGAAAAAGTATACAAAGAGACCATTTACTTTTAGTACAAGAAGGTTATAACTATTTTTGTCCATCAAATTTCAAATCAATTGGTTGTAAGTGTACTTGTGACTATACTCAAAACTCAACAAAAAATTTCTTGAACTTCGTGATACACCCCAAGCCATCCAATCGGACATTTAATACTTAGGATTAATTATGACCTCTTTATACTAAAGATAAATGGTCTCTAGTATACAATCCCAAAAAAAATAAAATAAAATACTAAAAACTACAAAACCAACATTACACATATAAAAGTCACTAAAAAATTCAAATGCAAATTTAATACAAAAAGAGCTTAAAGTCAGGATGATTTTATGTATATTGCTCTCTCTCACTGAATTTTGAGTCTACATGGCATGGGATCTTTGTCAACATCTTCTCTCTTAGAGAGGGAAAAAAGGAAAAAAAAAAAAGATAGTAACTCGCCCCGAATTTTCAATTGAAACATAGATTCATTTCGAACCATGTGGTCCTTCGGACTTATTTTCATCATTGTTTCCCGGCTTGTGCATATAAATAAATACGCAATTCTATTTTGAATTTCTAAGCACCAAAAAGGAGCAAATCAATCTCTATGTTTTAGAAATCAATATCATAGAAAATAGGTAGATTTACTTAGGGGAAAGCTTTTTATGCTTCCTCTACAGTATAAAACTTATATACTTTCCTTTATCCAACCCTCCATTCTGAATGGAGGGCTAAGATTACCTCAATCACAATGTTACGTCTACACTATTTTATTTTTTGTTTTTTTTTTCTATAAAGTATTTTGACACCAAATCTTGTATGTCCAATCCTCTATTAAACTCGCACTGGAAAAAAATATTAAAAACATATTTTCAACAAAATAAAATGTTTCAAAGGGTATTTTGGTCATTATATTTTATCTAAAAATTATTTTTAATATTTTTTATAGGTGTGCCCCAATGAGAAGATGGCACATACCAAACGTCATATTCATACAATTTGTATAAAGAAAAAACTAAAAATAAAATACATTGAGATGTCAGATCTAAGATCAAACGATGAGTGGCTCTCTTGATCAAAATTGGACGGCTGGATGGTAGGAGAAGCATAGATCTTCTATACTGTAGAGGAAGTATAGAAACATTTCTCTTTGCTTAATAGATTTAAGGAAATAATATAGGATTAGAAAATATTTCTAGATCATTAGTATTGAAGATATTTTTGGATTAAAAAATATTTAATAAATATAAGAAAAGATATATTCTGACCTAACCTTTTTTCTTTTCTTTTTTTTTTTTTCCAGTGAATAAGTGGGGAGAGACCCCTACCCTCGGTAGGAAATGAGCCTAGAACTTAACATTGCAAATAGCCACGGGTTTAACCAATTAAGACGAAGCTCTTTTTTAAAAAAAATGATAAGTTACTAGAGATTTGAGCCCAACCTTTTAGTGAGAATAGAGTTAGAAACCTCGTCGTGAGGCTAGGCTTGACAATACTAGCCTGCCTATTCCTAGATAGATATGCACCTTACTATTTTTCTCAACAACCCAACTCTCCAAAACAACTGCCCCATATCCTCTCCAGAGATAAGAGTACGCTTTATTATTGCAATATATCTCCGCCCTCTTAACTGCAAACCTCAAATCACCGGATTGGAAATATTTTAGATGAAAGATAATTTCAACAAAAGGCAATGCAGCTAAAGAGAAGAGTTGGAAGATCCCATCCTTCTAAGCATATCATCCCTCCAAAACCCTAGCAGTCAATTCTCCTTCGACACCCAGCAATCAATACTACCCGCTGATGCCTCACCTTTACAAACTTTTAACACCGCCTTCACCCTACCCTTTCTTTCCCAACGGGCGTTCTAGCCTTGCCTCCGTTTTAATCCCAGATAGAGAGGAGAAAAGTAATAGAGAGAAAGGGGAAGAAAGGGATCAAAGCAGTAGATAGAGGAAGGGATGAAAGGAGAGGAAAGATTTGATGGGGAAAGGGAAGGACAGTATAGGAAACAGAAAATTCGTTGAAAATCAATAAAATTAAATCAATTATTGACTTTCTTTAGATGAGAGAGTTCAAGATGGACGATGCAAAAGTCTCAGCAACTGGCACATGTACACAGGATCATTCCCCTATTTAAGTCAAGAGCTTAAAATTGCCCTCATTGGATTTACTACAACCCTATTATAACATTTAGAGGATACAATTGCCCATTGCAATAAATACACAAATATCATTTAAACCTGTGAACAGTATTACTGAGGAACTACAATTGTTGCAGTCTTGATAATGGCAATTCAAGCAACATGTACTTGAAGTATTTTATACGCTTTCATTCCAGCTGAAAGCTGCCAATAAATAATTAACCTTCTCGTTGATCATTAACATCTGTAACCTGTATAATTCAAACACTCCATCAAGTTATAATTGCACTGTAATTCTATCCCCATGGTTATAACGAAATTAATCTTGTTCTTGCACAAGATGGTACCTGCTCTGACTGCTGGTTTTCTGGTTGATAACCAGCTTTTGTGAAGTCCACTACAGTGGATGCTAATTCTGACCGATGAGAGGAATAGACATGATTCGCTCCTTCTATTATATGCAGTTTATGGTTCGAGATTAGCTTGTCGAACTCTAGAGCATCTTCCACAGGAATAATTTCATCCTTTGTGCCATGAATGGTCAAGACTCTGGACAAGATTTTTCAATCATTCCTATGCATTAAATGGAGATTCAAAAAATGAATAAAACATAAAAGATCATGATTGAACCAAACAGAATTACACTTAAGATTATATTGTAAAGAATCTTTACTAGTTCTGCTTTCCTATTAGTCTAAAATTTTTATGATACATGTGACACGAGCACTAATGCCACTCTCTGCCTCAAGTTTTTTAAAGCTCATTGTTTTTTGTTTGGCCATATCAACAAGCACATCCCTACACGCTATCAAAGATTTACTTTGTTCTTAGTAGATCCATCGGAACCAATCATATTGTAAATCCATCCCATCCTAATACTGTTTTTAAACGAATTTACTCTAATTCAAAATCCTGTAGAGTCAAACATGCGTATAACAAAAACAATGTAGGCCAGCATAGTCCTGTCTAGGTCCTCTTCTAACCCTAATATATGATTAGCAGTGCCACTGTTTCAAGTGGAAGAATTGCCACTCATGCAATTTACAGCCGTAAGTGGATTAAGATGATTCTAGATATGCCCACATGCCTGCTTCATGTTCAACATAGTTTCCAATTTTCTCTTCGTTGGATAGTTTACCCATTACAGCTCCTATGGCGTGTAAAGGATACTCAGTGTCGTGACTTTGGTGGTGAACTTCATACCACTGCAGGTCATAGGGAATCAAATCTCTGAATAAAACTCATTGGTTTACTAGTAAACTGAGAATTTTGCAACCTGATCTTGAAAGCCAATCTCTATGTATTGGAAAATGGGTAATTTATTATGAGGATAAGCACATAATAATATCATTCATAGGCTAAAAAGTTGGCTGCCAGCCAGGCTCTCAAAACACCTAGGCATTGCCCTAGGTGGGCAGTCTAGGCGATCTTGCTCCTAGGCACCCAAGGCGGTGCTGGTGCCTCAATGCAACTCAGTCGAGGGTGGAAAAAGGCCTTATGCTAAGGGAAAATAAGGTACCTTTTTCCGATGAAAACGAGGGAAAAGGGCTTTGGGGGCCATTATAGCCCCCAAACCCATGTACACCAAGTGCTGCCCAAAAAAAGGGGGGAAGAAAAAAGTGGAAGCCCTTTTATAAATTAAACAAATAATTAAGGCCTATAAAAATGGTTAACAACTTCAGACCCTTCTCTCTTGCTCATAGGCCCATATGGCCTCTCTCATTGTATGAGAAGAAGAAAAACAACATGACATCCAAGTGTTTGATACGTGGCCTCTCCCTCTTTCACACAGTCACACACATACATAGACACACATACGGACCCATATGCTCTCATTATACATAGAATAAAAAAAGAAGATGACAGACGTGTTCGAGGTCAGGCCGCCCGCTCTCTCATGGACTCATATTCTCTCTCTATCTACATATAAAAAGAAGAAAATCTCCAAGTATTTGATGAGAGACTTCTCTCTCACACATACGGACCCAAATGCTCTCTCTCTCTCTATTGCGCATGTGTGTGTTGATCTTGTTAAAAATCTTTTATTCAGTTATGCGAAAACTAAACCAAATCTAAACTGTATGATGCTATTACAATCACATAGGATACATAAAAGGGCGCCAAAGAAAGAACTGGAATTGAACCTGCAATGTTTAGCAATCATGGGGGTAGCTACACTCATATCTGTATTTAGGCGATCCATCAAGCTTTCTTCTGTAACACGGTAGTCAAATTTCCCTACAAGTTTAAACAAGAAAAGCAATCAAGGACTTCATCAAATGGTTTGTCAATCACAATGAATCAATTTATAAATGTAAAAGAAGTGAATGAATCTGATTTCCTTGTAATGTATATCAAGCAAGTTATAGATGAATGCCCATGCAACTACTGTGAAAATTAATAGCCAGAACATGGAGGTTCTTCAAAAGAAAAATAAGGGCATATTCGTATGGGAAGCGTTAAGAAAAAAAATAAGAAAGAAATAAATAAATTAAATATCTGCACAAGATGGGGCACACTTACGAAGTAAAGAGCTTTATAAAAATTATATCCAACAAACTTGCAAGTTTTAAGATGCCAATTTGGGAAAACTAGTGAGTTGATTTTCTGATGCTGTAGAACTGTTTGGCCGTTCTATAAAACATCATAAGTCAATTTTATTTGCCTATAATGCCTGTTTGGCCCTTATATAGAATGTCGAATGCTTATCTTGGGTTCAGTTTAACTTCAAAAGTCTAACCTTGGAAAACAAGCAATTTTAACCATGTCAATGCATTGACTATTCTTTTACACATGAATAAACTGGACTTCTGAAGATTTTATTCATGATTCGATCATCCATCAGACAAAATTTGCTCATACTTCCTTATTATCAAAAATGGATTTCATAGGTGAATCAAATTATGAATCCAAGTGTAGTTCAATAATGCTACAAGTAGGACATTGAGAGAAGTTTCAAACAAAATTTTTGCAAATATAAGAATGTATTTTCTGTATATTTAAACACTCATTTATACTATGAAGAAATTCCCTTCTCAAGGACTCTTTCATGATAACAAGCACTTACCATTCCTGTCTTTGACATCAATAAATCCGCTGTTCTTGATCTTTTCCATGAAGCCTTTACCTAAGCGACCCTCAATTCCTTGACGCAAATCAAAACGCCCACTAACATTAACCACAGTGTCAACATCATGATACTTGGAAGCATATAAAAGCACTGCATTTCCTCCTGCAACAGAATTTACAACAATGAACCCATCAAACATGCAAAAAGTAAACAAGTCTGTGCCACACAAGAATCTCATGCATAAACCAAAAAATAATGGATTTAATATAACTATTATTGAACCGTTTAGCCATGATGAGTAACGCAAGTCAGAATAAAGAAACCATTTTATGTGAAACACAAGAGTCTCATGCAAGAAGCTAAAATCAACAAACATAATAGAACCCTTATTTAGTGGGAATGAAATATTCCACAATAGAAGGACCAGATGCCAATCCAAGAAAGAATAGATAAGTGAACTCATTCCAATTGTCAAGAGTAACCAGTTACAAAAAAATAATAGATAAATGGAACAGGTCTCCAATCTTAAATCCAATCCCATAATCGTCATTAATACAACTTGTGAGTAGAAATAGATCACATCAAAAAACATCAGACCCTAATAATGTTCAATTAAAAAGAATGGTATGCATCAAATAATATATAATACAAGTCATACAACAAAGAGGATTTAGGGAAAAAAGAGACATGTAATAAAGAGGACAACAACAGGAGAAAGGACACCTTAGTCCCTATTCACACATGGGGAATATTGTGAGCATCTTATGCTGAACTCGATAAACAGAAATGAACAAACAATCAAAGAAGAAACAAGAAGGCAGCAATGAAGATGGAAGTTGTAAACACCGCCCCCTAAGGCATGCACATTTATAATAGGCCAGGAGAAAGGCCACTCCCAATTGGCATTGAGATTCTCTCTTAATTCGGTAGGGGGGCTTTTCTGAGGCACATGTTGTAGGAGGTCATCCACTTAATGTTATGGAGTGTTAAGAAGGGCTTTCGAATGCCTTACATAGCTCAAACGATGGGTCGTATATAGAGGATCACAGATACCATTTCTGGAAAGATTTGCGTTTTGGATATTCCTCGCTGGAAAAGTATGGCCAAACTCCTTGCAAGCAGCCTCCAGCCCAAATACTTCAGTGGAGGCATCTTATGAGGTATTAGGGGGTGTTGTGGGGGCAGGAAGGTCAAAGTATGGAACCCAACCTTTAGGAGGGACCTAAGCGATTCTGTAATTCAGGAGCTCAATATTGCAGTCCTTTTTGTTCTTTTCTCTGCTTTCTTTTCTTTTATTATTTTGAAAGCATCGACTGTATTTATATTATGCATGAGTTACATAAATGTTGAAAATGGCATCCCTGAGGTTCAGTGCTCACTACAGGGTAAGGAATCACAAAGTTGGGCCTATATAAACTGTGGGATGTACACTCTCATTGTTCCAAAAAAGTGTAAGATGAGCCCTCCCATGAGTAAATGGACCAAAAACCTGCTACTCATTACTACTTTGCCTCCCTGTTGCACCTTCCTTGGGTAAGAGAATCAGCAACGTCGTTAGCCGCCTGCCAGATGTGTTGGAAGGTCACTTCTATCTGCCTACATAAAGAGAATAAAAAGGGACTGTAATCTCCAAGGACAATGGGCAGTTTTGGACGCCCAACTGACAACATTTTAGGAGTCTCCCTCAACTATAAGCCCAGTACCTGTGCTCCAAGAGATTGGAACCTTTTGATGGTTTCACCCACTGTCGAGACAACAATACCCTGAGAATGACATTGTGGTCTTTCCGTGTTCATCTCTGAAGACTCCACCGCAGCCTGCAGGACCGGAGTTCCCCAGGGAACAGCAATCCACATTTACGTGTGAACAGACATCCACATGTTCTAAGTTTCCATGTTCACTACAGCTCCCTGGCTAGAAGTAGTAAAAACAGGGTGATTTGGTCACCAATAGGATCAGGAAGGTTTTCTGTTTCCTCTTTCAATCACTCCCAATTCCCTTCTTCCCCAAACCTGAGCATTAGCGCCATCAAGAAGAGCACATACAGTTGATCAGCAAAGGGTAGTACAACTGTCAAACAGATGCATCATCTGAGAGGCAGCAGAAAAGACCTCTATTCATCTATTCCTGCATTGTATGGCAGCCAGATAATTCTGGGGATTCCTGCTTCAAGCTTCTGACTGGTAATGGGAGATTCCTAAAACTGTCCAAGAACTTATTTGTGCCATGTATTCTCCCCCTACCCTTCAGCAGGCCTAATCCTTCGAAGAGCCTCAGCTATGGCTGCAATCTAGGTTATTTTCCTAGAGAACAATATTTTTGAGTGCTCAGGGGGAAGAGGGGGGGGGAGCAAATTTACAAGCCATCCTCAATAGAATGAAGGCCCCAAAAATCATTGGGCTGAAGGAAGTAAACACCTCAAGCATTTCTAAGTGGAGGATTCTGAGGCAAACTTGATGGCCGTCCTGATCTTCAAACCTACCAGGATTTCACAATCTAGTCTTTCGAGACATCTGACCACTCAATGATGCTCAATATTGATGGTTGCTTGCCAGGGATCAGCTGGCTTTAGGGGAATCTAGAGAAAAGCCTAAGGCCAGGTTCTAATGCCATTTTTAGGCTACATTGGCATTGTCGATTCAACAATGGCCAAGTCTGTGGCTCACCTTGAAAGACTCGAGCAATTATACTCTGCTCGGGGAAATTCCTCAATTGTCAAAGGAATTTCAAACAAGTTATTCTTTAGGCATCTATTATGTTTAATGCCCAAGGAGATTAGAAACTATTTGACACCGTATTTGACCTTTCTAGTGCAAGTAACTTTCCGCACACATGGCCTGAAGCCAACACATTCCACTGACTCACTTGCCAAGGTGGCTGCAGTGGGTGGCAATATAGGAAACAGCAGGCTGCAGTTTCCACCTTTTTTGATCCTGTACCCTAGGGTGACCAGCCCCAATTTTTCCTGTCAGTGAGTGGAGTACTCCCGCATTTTTCTTAGTTCACATGTATGATCCAAGTACTCTGTATATGAGATGCCATTTGTTGGTGTCATACAGATCTCACCAGAGTTAATGTTCTCAAAAGTCTAGTCCAAGGATTATGAGGTTTTATTAAGAATGTCACAGGAGAAGTACAAAAAAGGATCTGGATAGTGACAGATGTCATGGTGGAATCTCATCAACCCCCAAAATACAAATATATCAACTCACACTGCAATTCTCCAAAAACTCCAATTCAGCATTCGCTTCCCCAAGTATATGGAAAAGAAAGATACATCAACATGCACTTGCACTTAGATTACAGTTCTCCCCAAAGAATATGCAACAAACAGAAAGGTATCGAGGACTCTACACATGCTCTCCATAATGAGTCTCTACTCTACCAAAACAAAGCATATGACCAAACATGTTGGCTTTAGCTTCCACACAGAACAAATCAAAAAAGGTGACGAGTCCCAAATAAGTCAACAAAGAAAAACCCTTGGCATCTATAAGAAGTCCCTCAAGAGCCTCTCAGCCCAGGATTCCCATGGGAAATTCCATAAAAGAATCATAGATTTTGGTTTAGATAAACTTTGGCCGCTTCTCAAGGAAGCTCATGATCCTAGATTCACCACCTTCAATTCTCTAGAAAGGAGCGAATACCCCTAAATTTCAGCCTTGTAATGGCATACAAATTAGCCTTATTCAATGTAATTATATTTGATTCAGATGGTTCTTAATTTTGGCTGGTGAAAATAAGCACTATGGCTCCTTGGCCAATTTAGGGGAAGACTTACGACTTTTTTTAATAAATAAAAATCTCATAAAAAATTAATGTCAAGTAGGCATTTTTCAAATATATTTCAATATATCGGATATATACTTTCCAAAACTTTAAACATATTGAAGATATTTCTTACATTTTGAATTTTTTGATATTTTAAAAATATTACTGGTATATACAGAATACCGGGATTGGATTTGTTAGAGGCCCAAGCCCAAGATTTCAGCCAAACATTGGCCTGCTGATGGAACCTCTCTAACAAACCTTCTTTGTGGCCCTTAGACCTTGAAAATATAAGTGAATATGCCCCACATGAACCAACAATGATTCATGATAATGGCGTACACATTGAAAGCAGAATGAAAGGGAATCAACAAATGGACTTAGAATTCTCACTGTACATGATGCACCTGTTGTTAACGTAGCACCTCTCCCCTGAAGGCAATCCAATACCTAATATTACCCATACATGATACCCATACATGATAGCCATCCACACAAGACCATAAAGTACTGACTCAACATGATCACCCCTAAGAGCCCTGTAGAAGGATCCTGCCAAAGAGACCCCTTGTGACTCAAGCATCCCAAGCCTCTTGTCCATGCCTCTTACTGGTACATAAACATCATCAACGAAACCCATAAGGGCCACAAATACCATCAACTAAGAATACTTGATATCTCTTGGAAAATGGAACACTCCAACATATACCCTCTCAAAATAATCTAACACCTAGCCTGAGGATCAATAAGAAGCCTGAAGAGTGTAGGGTAGGTGATTCAACAATCCATCACCACACGAAACAAGGGACCAAAATCTGGTAACCCAAGATATGAACTCAATCCACACATACTACTAGTCGAAGTACCCTGTCACAGGCAAGATATCTCATACTTCACATAAATCACAGCCATCCACAAGCCTCCATAATCCTCCACAAGTACGTAATAACAACTCATTATTGAATCACTTGAATATCTTTAATACAAACATCACCTTCCCTCATTACAACATTCAAAAGGAAACTCACCTGCGACGCTAGCAGGCATATGAAAAGAGAAAGCAAATAGGAAAATTGGCTAATAGTTGCCTTAATGAAGGTCATTTTGTGCCATAGTCTTCCAAGAAGCAAGTCAGCTGTCCATTTTTTGGGAATCGAGTCATATACGCCATTCTTGGTTTTACGAATGTACATGGGAAGTCCCACAAAATACAACAGAGACACTTGGAAATCAAATCTGCTAGCCAGTGTTCTTGAAGAACACACACACAGATGGTGGTTTAGAGAGGAGAATTTGAGAGGGAGATAGAGGTATGATAAAGATTGCCAGACAATTGAAAGCTTATAAAATGGTGGGATTTGAGGGGGTTACATGTTAAATTAGGCTTTGGCTGAGAAAAAGAGTGATTGTTATATAAGCACTTACATCTGTGTTCTATTTTGTTTTTTCCACTTTTGTCTCGTATGATATAAAGTAACCAACGGCATGTTCAATTTTCAATTTTGAGTTAATTCCCAATTGAAATTACCAAATTGAATTTTTTGCAAAACCATAAACTAAGTTTACTCTCTTTCCACTCCACAGTGAACGAAAAATCACCAAGTAGGTTGGAATTGTCCAATCCGATTCAGAATCAAGCAAACACCAGTTCCAGATGCCCACAAACCGGTGAGTCACCCTGCTTTACAAAAATTGTCCCTAGTTCAATGTAGTGAACTAGGCATTTTCATCTAAAATTCATGAATCAGGCGATTTTTCAAAATTCGCCTGATTTTCCTGTATTGCATCATTGACTCCAGCATAAAGCACAATTTCCCTTTTTATGCCATTTGATTGGTTTCTCTCTAATTTTAATCCATTTTTCTTTCAAAAAATCTTGATTCCAACAATATTTCACAAATTCACATGATTGACACATTTGTTTTGCTCTTGCCTTGGTTTTTGTTTTGATATGGGTTTCACTTTGAAACCTAGCATTTGAGAATGATATCTACTTGGTCACAGTTTTAGGAAAAATGAAAAAAATTTGCCTTTGTGAGTTTTGATTTTCAAGGAATGCTTGTCATTCTTCAAGTTGGGTTTTGAGCTTTAAATCCAGGGTTTAATGGTTTGTTTAGCAGAGATCAAGGACAAAACAATTCAAATTTTAGCCATGTAGGTGATGGAGTAAAAGTGCGACGACCAGATTAAGATACGACCTCTATGATGTTCCCACTCTCTGGCTCAGCATCACTATCCATCAGGACTTTGACTAATGACCCGATGAAGTATGACTTCCTCTGGATTCATGGTATAGTTCCCTTTGCAAAAACTTGTCCAATGAACTTCTTACTTGTCCAATGAACTTCTTACTGACATCACAGGATGCTCACTCAAACGTAAGTGATGAGATACCAATGCAACCTGAAGCACCCAGAACTGACATATGCATCACATGGTATCTAACTTACTAATATGACAAACCATACACATACCAACAATGTTCACGTTAAACAACTGGAGATCACCTTTACTGTGCCCGATAATAGCTCTAGTTTTACGTTGAGCCCCAGAAAAGTATTCAACCACAGAACGCAAATCCTCCACCTCTTTCCAGTAATTTCCATATTGAAATGATCCTTCACTTTCCCTGGAAAAGAAATGTCCTTGACATCAGTTTGATTGATCTCTACCCAGGCAAACAAAAGGCACACCTAGCATTTCTGTAACAACCATGACTGTTTTTGCAAGCATGCAATAATGTGAAAAAAGCAATAATTGAAACAAATATATTTTGACTCAGAAGTTTGAAAATCCTTTGACATGGCACCTAAATTCCCAGAGCTACGAGTACAAATCTGTCATAAATCAATGTGTTACTTTGGTGTACATAATTAGGATTTTTAGATATTCTATTATTTTTATTTTCCAGCTTTCAAACAAAGCAGTCTGCTTCTGCTTTTTATTAAAAACATAAAAATAAATGTTCGGTCATTTATCTAATTTTTAATTATTTTTTCATGCTTTATAGAGTGGTTGAGAGTCTTATTATCATATATTGAACATACACTTTTCCAGATTTCTTAAAAGTTTAAAGACATTGCACTACTGTATAATTCTTCCCAAATTTCCACGAGTAGCAGCTTTTGCAAGTCTGCTAACTCCTCCAAAGTTCAACTCTATATAAAATCACCTTAGTTCCCAGATGCTCTCATCCTCAATGACTGAGAGCCGCTGGAGAGAGGATGTAGAAGCTAGATCTCTAAGGTCAAGAATTGACTACAGAGGATCCTAATCAAGCTTTTGTATCAACCAAACATCCATATGCAAAGGACGATCATTGATGGACTGGCCATCATATTTTTCTCTGTAGCGCAAATCTTATTTATTGAAGACCCTAGGCTTTCTTCAAAAGTAAACCTACGGAGAATATTGTTACACTTACAATCTAGAATATATGAACCACAGACCATAGTCCATGCTAAGAAGCTTATTGGCCAACACCTAATCCATGATCTATATCTCAAAGCCCCATTTACGGGATTGATAATCTGTTTTCCACAATCCATTCCAATTAATTTATCGTGGGATATGCACAGGAGATTTATTTTTATAATAGACAGAGAACTAGAAGACTTTGGCTCCCTTGAGGAAGTTTTCTCTCTCTCTCTCAACCCATGACCCATGGGATCACAATCCCATAAACGAGGGATCGCATCCCCAAGGAAGACCCACTCATGGAGCATGGAAAACTAGTTTCGGAGCACGTCCATCCCCTGGGGATTGAAGTGGTATGCTCCAAACAATGAATGGTATGTTTGCCTTGTGGACAATCTTAGAAACTGTATATAGCCGAAAACAAAGGCTAAAAAAGTTATAAATATGTCCTCAAAAAACATTAAAAATGGGAAACGAGGTTGACAATGAACAAATCTACCCCATGATGGATAGGTTTCCAAATTATTCCTAGGTTGAGAGTCTACCAAGTTATTCCAAGGTTGAATATGTTGATCTTTCCTCACTCAGGCATGCTTTTTCTTCCTGACTAACTGCTCAGGAAGATAGTTATCGACGAATTAAAATGTATGTTATTAATGATGCTTTGTGAATTTTCTTATTATGTGCATTAATTTTCTATTTTTCCCCTTTTGGATTTTTCTGAATTTTTCAAGCTAAAAATTATTTTTTTAATATCCATCTTCTATGTACTTTTTTCCATATCACTTAGTCTTTTAATGATGTTTATAACTCTCTTTTTTTAATAATTTTATTATTTTTTACAATTTTCTAGGTTTATTGGCAATTTTTTAGCCCTTTTTGGGCTCATGCAGGACTCAGCACCTCCATTTACACTCGTCCCAAGTTACTTGACTTGGGCAGGGACCAAGTCCCACGCCAGAGCGGAGTTTTTTTAACATTGTTTTCTCTTGAGCGACAACAATACTTTAGCCAAAGAAAACGGTTTCATCTGGATGTTCCCACTAGAACAGACAAACATAATGCAGAGAGAGATAGATAAGTTGGAATAGAGGGCAGGCCAAAGAAGAGATCATAAGTAGACTATTTCATCAACCATCAAGTGGAACCAAATCAGTATTTTTCAATTATGCTTAACCAAATTGCCAAACCATTGGTAGCCACACGCTGCCCATCGTTAACATGAAAAAATTTCTATAACGTAATAGAGTGTCAGTGAAATCTCTCTCTCTCTCT